GCTACGGTCCCTGTGTTGGCAGAGGGGAGGATTTGAACCTAATAATGTGCAGAATAAACCACTACTCTTATTCTCAGGCTCAGGAACTAAATACAACCATCACTTTGTTCTCTCTCTGCCGGAGAAAATTGGGGTGAATCAACAAAATGCCCTCTTGATTGGAAAGACAGCTGTATTTCTCTGGAAGACAGCCCGGAAAAGAGACATCTGGATCCCTAGACGGACGTAGGTCACGAATGTCCGTTGGATAGTCCCTGGGGTAACACTAAGCATTGACAATCCTGCATGAACCTTCCAAAGGGTCCTTGGCTTTGCCTTCATAGACACACTGCCCGGCGACTGAGCAAAGCTGCTCATGCCACCTCGGCGTCACGCTCAGTGCTGGCTTTCTTGTTCCCACCTGCTTTTTTTTTTTTTTTTTTAAATTAATTAATTAATAATTAATTTATGTGTTTTCAATGTTTGAAACATTACAAATAGTAGTACATATGTCTCCTTCCCCCCCCTTGACCTCCCCCTAGCCTCCCTTAACCCCTAGCATATGCCCTCACCTGCCTCCCCCCCACTCCCCCCCCGTGTCTTGTATCCATTGGTTATGTTTATATGCATGCATACAAGTCTTTGGGTTGATCTCTTACAGGTGCGCCTCAACCACCCTTGCCTTCCCGCTGTAGTTTAACAGCCTGTTCACCCACCTGCTTTTGCAGGAACTGGTGACATCCCCCCACATTTCTGATTGGGGGGGGGGGGAGGGGAACTTCTACAGAAAGAGGAACCACTTCATTCACATCCAAAAAGATGACGGAGTCGTGGACAGAAATAACCCACAATGAAGCAACTTCGAGGAAGTTCTCTGTGAGAGTCACTGAGCCAAGGTAGGTTCATGTTATACGGCTCAATAAGGGCTGAGCCAGGCTATTAAAACTGAGAGGATCCATTTCTCCCAGACACATTGTTGGCAACATTGACAGCCGTGAGATTCCACCTACTGTACCCGTGATGCATGGTGTCCAGACAGGAAGGAAAGCAGGCATGGCCCTGACTCACACTGCTTTGATTTCCAGTTTTGAGTTCCAAGGCGTGCTCAAGCTAGCTGTCACTTCCCCCCACCCCCAAACACGACGCTGATGGGTGTTAATAACTTCCTTTAGAACAGAGTCCAAGGTCAGGTGCACCGGCTCAGTGCTGCCTGGAAATATTTATGGGGATTCACACCAAGGCTGAGAGATGCTTTGCCTAGAGTTGGGCATGCGGGGCGTGGATGCTGGTCAGTACCTGGGACACCCTCACCACACGCTGCTGGATGGAGCCGGGATGTTCCCAGGAGCCCCCACTGACCACATTCTTCTGCTTCCCTGAAAACGCTTTTCTGAAGGAATTTCCAAAAACCCCAGAAATAAAAATCTCTTTACGCAAGAACACTTGCCTTGGGGGGAAAAAAAAAAAAAAAATGAGTTGGACTTTTTTTTTTTTTAAAGAGAAATTGGAAGGGGGAGGTGACATGTCCCTGCCATGAAATTCGATTTAATTTTTTAAATATGAAAAATAACTCGGTGTGTCTATTTCATGCAGAAGGCCACCTGAATTTGGCATTAACCAGTTAACTGCCATGCGTCCAAAATGGAAAAGCATCCCCACATGCCATGATCTTTTGAATTTAATTTTTTTAAAAATCAACTTGCAATGAATGTTATAAAAATAAATACGTTACTCATAATTTGGGCGTTCTTGAATATTTCGGGAGCTGAAAATTCTCACACAAAAATGACTTTAAAGTGAGTGGTCAGGGCTGCCACTTAGGGAAAACTTTTTTTTTTACAGACTCGTGTGGCATGTGGGGAAGGTCCACCACCTGCATCTACAGACACTTATGGCATACAATGGGTTAAAATCCTGCCCTGAGCCAGATAGTGAAGCATTCATAGCTGACCAGGAAATATCTCTTGCTTCTCCACCCAAGGAAGAGACAAGCAAGAAGCATATGGGCAAAATGCCCTCTTCATTGGAAGGCAATTTCTGCTTTTAACTAACTGGCAAGGAAGCAAACTGGCAAATGCCTGCTTGGCTGAAGGATATCTCTGCTTTTAACCCCAGGCTGATGTTTCTTTAGGATACAGCTTAGAAAACAAATCCGGTGCCAGCTTTCTTCGCTCTCATCTCTTAATCATGGGCAAAGTATGTGTGTTCACACCCCACTCTCTCACTCACCTTTGCCTCTGTGTTAGGAGAGGATGAGTCACACACACACAAACACACACACACAACTATAAATCACCAGGAGAGGCTTTCCAACATCCTAGGAAAAAGCTCCGGGTTTGGCAGTGAGCTATTTTCTCTAGGAAAATATCTACCTTAGTTTTACACACGTTACCATAGGCCAAAATATTGATAATAGAATCACTTTTTTTTTTTTTTACATTTTTTTAATTAAATTATTATCTGTGTATATATTTTAACATTGCCTCCCCTTCCCATACATACTCTTTGTATGTATGGGAAGGGGAGTTTTATGTCCATTGGTTGTACTTACATGCATGTATACAAGTCCTTCGGTTGATCTATTATCTCCCCCAGATCTCCCTACCCTACCTGCTGTAATTTGACAGTCTGCTTGTTGCTTTACTGTCTCTATATCTATCTTTTGGTTCATCAGTTTATAATAGAATCACTTTTTAAAATGCTTAAGACAACAGCCTTAATGTAAAACAACATTTATCCGTCTGTGTTCCTTGAAGGTTTATTAGAAATGCATACTCCAGGGTCTCACACCAGACCCTTGAGTCTGGATCTCTGGGGGCAGAGTTTCCACGGTTCTTTTGTTTTTGTTTTGTTTTTTTAATCCTTACCCAAGGGTACTTTTCCCATTAATTTGTAGAGGGAGTGGAAAAGAGAGGGGAAGACAGAGAGAAATATCAATGTGAGAGAAACACATCGGTTAGTTGCCTCCTGCACGAGCTCGGACCAGGGCCGGGCTGAGAAGGAGCCTGCAACCAATTGAACCCCAACCCACGACCTTTGGTCTGCAGGTCAAAACTCTATCCACTGAACCAAACCAGCTAGGGCAGAATCTCCACATTTTTAACAAATTTCCCAGGTGATTCTGGTATGCACTGGAGTTTGCCTTGTATACTGGTAAGATTACAGCAAACATTTTCATCATGGTATCAAGGAGGTTAGAACAACAAAACAAAAATCTCCAAAAATGAGTGACTTGTATCCTTGGGATTTCTGAATCACAACCTAACACTTGCTAATTTTTGGACAGTAAGGAAAACAAGGCAAAAACAGAGAGTGGTTAATACTTTCTGCTTTCAGATGCATGTTATTCAATACCCTCCCCCATGAAAGTCCCAAGTTCATGGTTTTGCAGATACTGAGAAGTCTAGATCTAGCTTACAGCCATGATTATGGTGTTGTTTTTTTTCCTTCTAGCTACAGAAATCTAATGTGTTGTGTCTCTGTGTGCTTAGAGTCTAGCATGCAGCAGTGAGTCTTCTGGAATCAATTTAAAACAAGACTTTACTAATGAGGTAACAGTAAGTTAAAAGGCAGGTCACAACAAAATTAAGCTCTTGGTTTGTAAATAGAGATATATAATGGGAGACCGGAAGAAGTAACCACAAATCACCATCAGGTTTTCGTGTTATGGTTAGCTCTCTCTCTCCTTAAGCTACCCCTAAATTTATGATCATTTTTTAAAAAATAAATAAGTGATAAACACACTTTAAAATGTTGACTTTTCAGTTAAAATATCATCACGAGTAAAATTTTAACTTACTATTAAATCAAAAGCATGAAGTAAGCCCGGCCTGTTGCTCAGTTGCTTAGAGCGAGTATCCAATACCCCAAGGTCTTGAATTTGATTCCGGTCAGAGCACATACAGGAATCAACCAATAAATGCATTAATGAATGAAACAAATCGATGCTTTCTCTCTCCCTTTCTCTCTCTAAAATCAATTTTAAAATTAAATTTACAAAAAAGGGACAACGTAAGAAAAATTTATTTTTGACCCAGTGATTTCACTTCTAGTAATATATCCGAAGAAACCCAAAACACTAATTTGAAAAAATATATGCACCCCTAAATTTCAGAATTATTTTAAAGACTACTTTTTTTAAAAAAAGTAGATGTACTGTACTTGATCCATTCCTCTATATACACTTAAGCTGTATCTAATTTCAAGCTTTACTAAATAACAGAATCATCTTCTATATAAGTTCTTTTTCTTCTAAGAGTTATTTATTTAGAATAAATTCCCAGCAATGGTTTTGCTACTTCAAATGACATAAACATTTTATGAATCCATATATATAACATATTTTCTTTCAAAAAACAATTGTACCACATTACCATAAGCTATGGGAAAAAGAACTGGGTTCCTAAAAAGACTGAGAGCTGTTGAAAGCTTTTCACTTCATTTTTGTTACTGTTTTAATTTTTATTTCTTATGATTAGTAGTTTTTAAACTATCACTATACCAAGCACCATTATAAGGAGTTTACATATATAAAATTATGTTATTCTATAAGAACAATTTAAAATAAACCCTTAATGCATAAAATCTATTATATAAAAACTTACCCTTTATATATTAGAATTTCTAATATAATAAAATCTTAAATTTCCATAAAAGAGATAATCTTATTTCATAGAGATAGAAAGGCACTGAAAAATTTAACTATGAAGAAAAGAACATTACTCTAGATTTTTCCACATATTTAATTTTTGGACCTTAGAAGAACAAGTCAACCCAAAGGAATAAGAGTTTCTTTTATTACTGAGAAAAGTATGTATAATTTTTTTTTCAAAATTAGAAATATCTTCTTTCTTAAACATGATTGGATGAAATTTAAAAAGTCCATTAAGAAAGTGGGATGATAAAAGGCAAAATGACATTAACACTAGCAATATTTTTTTCAGTGCATTTTCTATCTCATTCTTTTTTTTAATTGAATATTTTTTTTAATAATTAAGGAAATGATTCAATAAATGACCTACCTGATCTCACCAAGCACATCAAGCTGATGAAGAAATATAATCTCAGCATATGGGGACTGGAGCGAGTGTGTCACATTCACAAGAATGATTTCCTTCCCAGAGCCTGAGTTTCAACTGAGGGCTTTGCCCTGAGAGCTCAGATAACTAATCCAGAGGTGTGGTGACAAGAGGAAGTTCTAAGAGACTGCAAGCTGGTCCCACCCCTTTCAGAATACTTGACTCCTCCTCTTTTCAATGAATGGTCGGATATGTTTCCACCTTATTGCATATCTTAATATTATAATACATATTTGCAGAATGACGAGTTCAAAAGTTTCATTCTTCGTGGGCGGTTTATGAGTTGTTTGGCTTGGAGTGTTGAAATCAAGAGTGATCTGAAATATTTTCCTCTCCAGTCCTTGTGAATGAAACAAATCCAGTTAGTGTCCGGTTGGCCCGTGTATACAAAACAACTTGTTATGTTAATTCACACACTCATTTCTCATAGGGCAGTCTTTAGATTTTATTAAGAACATTTCATTAAGTCCAATTGAATACTTACATTTGCCAAAATATGCTTCAGATTAAAAGAAGCTTTTTATGATATTATATATCTTTATTTTTATTTCTTCTTATCCAGATTTCCTATCTAGATATTAGTTCTCCTCCCTTTTCTCTTCCTCCTCTGCTTCCATCTCCTCCTTCTGTTCCTCCTTCTTTAAAAGAAAAACAAATGCAAAGACTTTAGAGAACTATGCCAGAATCCAGCTATCTCAGTTTTGGAAGTAACTAAACATGTGCTTTATATCTACAAGGTAATTTAATTCTCTTTCTGATGGAGTGCTTGTAACAATTAGACTTCCTAAGGTCTGATGAGCATAAAAATAAATAAAGACGCATAAAGACACAAGCTAGCCCTAACCGATTTGGCTCAGCGGATAGAGCATCAGCCTGTAGACTGAAAGATCCCAGATTTGATTCCGGTCAAGGGCATATATCTTGGTTGCGGGCACATCCCCAGTAGGGGGTGTGCAGGAGGCAGCTAATGGATGTTTCTCTCTCATAGATATTTCTAACTCTCTATCCCTCTCCCTTCTTCTTTGTAAAAAATAATAATAATAATAATAGTAATAATAATAATAAAAATAATAAAATATATATTTTTTAAAAAGACACAAGCTATTTAAGAATATATTTTCATCCAAAGCAGTAGGCAGAAGCCACTAGTCACTTAGCTTTTTCTATCTGAAGTGTGTGTTTATGAAGTACGAGCATCTCTGATCTACATTTATCAGTTCTCAGCACCTCAATTTGCAGGCGATTCCTTACAGGAAGTAGTTTCTAGCAATGCTTCCCAAGGAATCAGTACATGACAATTAACCTGGGAGGCTTTAAAAAGAATTGTATATGTATATATCTGTGCCACACCTCAGACCTAATGGATGCCAAGACTTTCTAGCACTGGTCAACCAACTGACCTGGTTTCAGTCCCACCACGTCCAGTCACTAGGTGTGTGGCCTTAAGCGAAATACTAAAATTCTCCAAGTCTTAGTGTTCTCAACTGTAAAATGGAGATAATAAAAGCACACACCTCACAGGTTTATTATATAGATTAAATGAACGTTCTTAGCACTGTGCCCAGTACCAAGATAAATGGACTCACCACCTGGTAACTATTGTTATTACCTAACTGGTCACACAATTCAAATCTTTCCTCTTTCCCTCCTACTCCCCCCTCTCCCCCTCCCCGCTGGAAAGGTGGGCTGCACAATGCTGAGCAGAAGGATTTGGTGGAGAATCTCTGGGGTTTTAGGAACGGAGAGCAGTTCACAGCAGTGACATTTCAGGTTAATAACGTTAGTCAGCAGTTCAGTCTATTTCTGTGTTTTGTCTGCTGTTTGGAGAAGTAAATTAGGGATATGGAAATAGGAAAACCTAATAGGTGACCTTCTAGCTATTTCACTTTTCCATTTTCAAAAAGCTCTGCTAATTAGAAAAAAACTGCCCTCAGGAACAAATGGAGCATTATTTCACGTTCTCCTAGGAACTGGTTATGGAACACATGGCTCCCTGTTGGATCAGTGCACTTGCCTGATAAATATTTGTTGAGTGCCTATCAGTTTAGTACCAGGCCAAGTGTTTATCTACACAGAGCCAATGTACATTTTCCTGGAAACTAGCCAATTTTAGGAATAAAAATCATTTCCGTGGGGAGGCCTCATGTTAGTTTTAACATCTTTGTGTTACTATTCATGATTTTCCCACGGGTGGGCACAGAGGGTTCCCCTAACGCCTAGTTTTATCCCCTTTCTACTTGCTGCATTCAAAACGGCACAAGAATCAGTGAAAAACCATCCCCTCTTTTTCAGGATAGTGAGAAATATCAAATAAATATTTTTTAAAAACCATTTCAAAGGATGGGAGAGAGGAGATGTAGGGAGGACTTGAGAATAGGTGTGATTATAAAGCGGTAGCACAAGGAATCTTTGAGACTCTCTTGATTGTAGTGGTGGTTACAGGAATCTATACCTGTGATGAGATTTCACACACACACACACACACACACACACACACACACACACACACCACACAAACACGAGTACATGTAAAACTGGTAAAATCTAAATAGGTTCTGTGGATTATACCAATGTCCATTTTTTGTTTTGATAGTGCATTCTAGTTATGTAAGATGTTAAAATTGGGGAAAACTGGGTTAGGGTATATGGGACATCTCTGAACTATTTTTGCAACTTCCTGTGAATCCATATTTATTTTAAAAGAAAAGTGTTTTTAAAAAAAAAAAATTCCAAAAGATGGGCAAACTCATAACCATTTAAACATTAACATCTAGTCAAAGGTATCCTGAGGAAAACCATCTCCTCCTTTCTCATCAGATAGGCAAAAGGTAATAGTGCAAGCCCTGGCTGGGTAGCCCAGTTGGTTTGATTTCAGGCTGCACCAAGATTGCAGATTTGATCTCCGGTCAGGGCACATACAAGAAGCAACTAATAAATGCATAAATAAGTGGAACAGGAAATCAATGCTTCTTTCTCCACCCCCCCCCCTCAAATCAATCAATAGCCCTAGCTGGTTTGGCTCAGTGGATAGAGCGTCAGCCTATGGACTAAAAGGTCCCAGGTTCGATTCTGGTCAAAGGCACATGCCTGTGTTTCGTGCTTGATCCCCAATAGGGAGCTTGCAAGTGGCAGCCGATCAATGATTCTCTCTCATCGTTGATGTTTCTATCTTTCTCTCCCTCTCCCTTCCTCTCTAAAATCAATAAAAAATATTTTTAAAAATAAATTGAAAAAATAAAATCAATCACTAAAAATCATTTTAAAAAGAGTGAATAATGGTCAATGTTCTCAATACTATGATGACACTAATATGATACTAATACTAATACTAATACTAATACAATAAATGATCACAACTCAAGAATATTACCATTTTTCTCATCTCCAATCAAGTATGATGTACTGGCTTTTTTTTTAACATATATATTTTTAAATATATTTTATTGATTTTTTACAAAGAGGAAGAGAGAGGGATAGAGAGTTAGAAACATCAATAACAGAGAAACATCAATCAGCTGCCTCCTGCACACCTCCAACTGGGGATGTGCCCACAACCAAACTCTTGACAGGAATCAAACCTGGAACCTTTCCATCCGCAGGCCGACGCTCTATCCACTGAGCCAAACTGGTTAGGGCTGTACTGGCTTTAAAAAAAAAAAAAAGATGTTTTATTAACTTTTTTTTAGAGAGACAGGAAGGGAGAGGGAGAGAGAGAAACATTGATGGACTGGCTGCCCCCTGCTGCCCCCTACTAGGGATTGAGCCTGAAACCCAGGCATGTGCCCTGACCAGGAATCGAACCTGCAACCTTTTGGTGCACGGGATGACACTCAACCAACTGAGCAACACCAGCCAGGGCTGCCTAAAGAAAAACTAAAACAAAAATACACACCTAAAAATCACTTGCTACAGAGAGCAGGGTAGAAAGAAGTAGGCAAGTTTCCAAAGCAGGAAAAACAGGTATGGAAGTGTGATGGGACTAAGGGGATGTGGTTTCATAACTCCTATTGGCTTCAACAGACATGAAAGATGACCTATGTTCCCTCCTGCCCTGGTCTAGGGTTCAAGCTGGTAAATGATTCACTATAACATCTTTATGTCTTCTCATTCGCATGAATGACCCTGCCATCTTTCAGTTGTGGTCCAAGTTTGGAAAGAAAAGTCTGTTTCCTTGATACATATTCAACAAGAAGATCAGGATAACTTTCCCCAAATCAATATATTTATTTCATTTATCATTCCATCATTTATTGAAACATTTCTTGAACTTCCATTTTAAAAAATAATAAGGAAAAAATAAGAGATGGATCTTTCCCCCAAGCATACAGACATATTAATGATCTAGAGATATGGATACACATTCCATAGGAGAACTGAGGAGGAGGCGGTAAGATGCTGAGTATTCCAGAGGAAGGAGTCACTGGAAAAGCTTCACATAAGAGGTGAGTTTTGATCTGGGTTTCAAAGATTAGGTAGGACTTTGCCAGGTGAAGAAGGTGGAGAAAGAGCATTCCAGTGCTCCAGGAACAGACTTGGAGACATTAAAAAAAGCATGGATTAAGAGTTTGGAATGTATAAGTAGGGAAATGATAAAGTTATTTGAAGACAGGCTGTAAAGAACTTTGTATGGCATGCATAGGATATTGGTTTTTATCTTCAAAGTAGTAGGAACCTATTTTTTTTTCTTGTTCACTTAGTTAAATTACTACTAGAGGCCCGGTGCATGAATTCATGCACAAGTAGGGTCCAGCCAGCTCACCTGGATCAGGCCAATTGGGACGGGCAGGCTGGGGTGGGGGTGGGGGGTGGGGAGAAGGGGCCACAGGTGATTGGCAGGATGACCCTGCCCCCTGGTCGAACTCCTGATTGAACGCCCAAACTCTCAGCCGAGGGGACAATTTGCATATTAGCCTTTTATTATATAGTATAACTATACTAACTATAAGTTATTATGTTACTATTGCATAATAATACAAATAAATCTAATAAATA